TTTGCTATTAAGAAACACACAAAGAAAGTTGAAATTACTTCGCTTTTACCCGATTAGTTTTCACTCATGATGGATGGAAGAACGAAAGTATTGTATAGTTGGATTACAAAGGCGCTACGAATTTCCTGTTGTGCCGTTCCACGCAGAACACGATTACCTTTCAATGCTATTTCGCGCTTTATATTTGGATTCCAATTAATGTGAAATAGAGTTGGGCGCATGCAAGTACCGTTTTCACATGCAATCCTAGATTCGAGAGGCGCTGTGTCGACTCGATGAATGAAAATAGTACCATTAATATGATTAATTAACGTAATACCGTCGCGCGAGAATTTATATTGTTTCGAGCGATTGCAACTACTCGTAGGTCCGTTCACCTTTCTTCTTATGGCAGAGGGATCTTGTAACTTTCGTTCTGCCGCGTGCGCTGTCAAACATCTGGACATATTTTGGCAATTCTATCTGTTTGCATTCATCCCCAAGTCATCGTTTCAACCGATAAAACGTTCGAATCCGTGGAAAATCTCGGCAGTTTGAAAATTAATCCTCTCCGGCGAATATCAACTTAGTTATATAATAAATGAATGGAATCGGCATTGCGTTGAATAGATTTATATCTTATTGGATATATTACTACTGCTACATCAATTTTATTCCTCTCATGAATAAGAAAACATTCCAAATAATAATAAAAATATATCAATGATTATAAATTAAGATACGGAAATACTTAAAATTGCAATTTTCAAACGAAAATAATAAATTTATCTTGATGAAAACTTGAAAATTAATTCTCTGCAACTATTATAAATTTTATTACATAATAAATGAATGAAATCAGCAAATCATGTGATGGGTTCTATTACCCAGTAAACTAACATATGATAATTAATTTGCATACCAGAAAAAGTTCTAAACGAAAAGTACAAGTTTACTTCCGACGGAAAAACTTCAAATATAATGAATTGAATTTCTATTTAATTTCAATCAATAAGCACAAAATAATACAAAAAAATTAATTCAAGAAGGTTCTTCAAAAATCCGTTGTACATAAAAAAACCTAATTTTAATTTAATTTGATTATGAAAAAATTTATCAAAAGAAACAAATTACAAGACAGTTTTGAAATTTATACAGACAATTTCATCAATTTACTCAATAATTCTAACATATTCTGTGCTGTTAAGAACTATTGATAAATATCGATTTTGTTGATTTTTATGAAACAAATTATTGCATATACACATTGTATTGTATAATAGTGCAACTTCGATTATGTAAAACTTAAATTTTATAATGTTTCTTATATTAAAAACGAATTAATTTGATTTTTTTCCTTATATTATCTATAGATTATATAATTCCAAATGCATTTTGAAAATATGTCACTGAAATGATGAATTATATATATATTTATGTTAATAATTCAGATTTATTTAATTTATTTAACGTATTTTGCTATTGAATCATGATTATTTAATCAGGTTATTAAAGGAATTATAAATACCAACAAAATGTAGCTTAATTTCAGTGTTTTCTATGTTTTTCTTTATAATTAAATGTTTTCAACTAACTATAATTATTTAAAAATATATATAAATAAAAATATAATTTTCAAAAAAAAAAAGCAGAACATTAAGAGTATTTTAACTTTATTTGTTAGAACTTTAATAATGTTTGTTTTGTTACTTTTAATAATGATTTTGTAATCTTTTAATTCTTTGTAAAGTTTGTTGTCAGATTTATTTATGTTTTTATTTACTTATAAAATTAATTTTTAATCACATTTTTTGTAACATTTATTGAAAAAAAAAAGTAACATTCATATGTTTATTTGTTTGTTTATAATGAAAACTACTTAAAATTGTTTGGAAACTATTTGTAATGTATATTAAATTTCTTAGAATGCAAAAACAATAAGTATTTTTGAGAAGCATAAGAAATTTTAATTAACATATACACTTAAATAACTATTATTTAAGAATAATTATTGTAATTCAGACGAAATTCTATGAAATATTTCTAAACATTTTTTGTGTGTAAGTATAAGAAATGGAATCATTGATGTGAGAATTACGAGAAATGTTCATGTAGTGTTTGCGCTTTCTTTGTATAAACAATGTGAAACATGTGTTTATTGTAATTAATTTGAATCTACTGTATGTAAGTGTATATGTGTATATATATAAAATGCTGTAAGCACTCACATAGTTCAGACGGTGGTCAAAGTGGTTCCATAGCTGAGAGAGCCTGTGCCTTTCGAATGAGTCAGTAAGTTGACGGACTCGCACGCGGTTTGAATCCAGAATCACTGCACATTAATAAACCATTATAGTAATAATAAACGCTATGATCTGTAACAAATTTTGCTCCGGCAAAAAGGTGTACTTCTTGCACTGAGAAATAAATATATAAATTATACACAAATATGCGTAAAGCGTGGTTTACGACTTACAAAAGACCGATGTTATACTTTGTTTTATTGCTGTCCGTGTTTCGCGAATGTGTAACGACCCGTTGGGATGGTGTAACACCTTGGTTTTCGGACTCTTGTAAGTATATTTTTTTTATTATTATTATTTTTTAATTAACAATTTCAATTCTTTAATTATATAAATTCGGGCAGAAAGACTTATTATATTATAGTGTAGAGTTTATATTTTGGTGAGTTTATTATTGTTGCAATAATAATTATTATTATTTTTAAAATATAATTGGAAAACCTATCAGTAAAAATTATTAACAAAGAATTAATAATGTAATTAAATAAATATAATTTTTATGATTTATTGACCAGAAATACAAAAAAAAAACGTCAATTCGTCCGAAATCAACAGATAAAATATTTTCTTCAATTTAGAAAATAACTTACAATAAACTTAAACTGGTCAAAGAACTTAAAGTCTATTTAATATTTTTTTATAATTTTATTAGTATTTCTTTGGATACTATATTTATTTCAAATGTATTTAATTTTAGCGTAAATATAGCATAAAAATATAAACTTTTCATAATTTTTTTTAATTATTCAAAAAATCTTCTTTTCATTAGTTGTATTTGTTAATCTCTTCTACTTATCTAATTTTTAATTACCTAAAAAAGCAATAATATTAAGTGTATTTAAATTTTAAACTAACTGGACAAAAGGACTTTAAAGTCTATTGAATAGTTTTTATAGTGAAGTATTATATTTTAACGCAAACTTATTAACAAAATATAAAGTTTTTTTTAAAAGCAAACCAAAATTGTCAATTATTTCCTTATTTATTACACATTAATAAAACTAGAACATCTCCATCAATATAGATAAAAAAAAAGTGATAGAATCATTCGTTTACTGCATTATTTTACTATATTATCTTATTTACTAATTTTTATTAGTACATATTTGAGTTGAAAGTCTAAATTTTAATATGAATTTAGAAAAATAAATTTTAAATTTTCAAATTTATTTAAAAAAAAAACTATTACCAAACCAATGAGGACACAAATGATGCATTTAGATAAACTCTAAAAAAATATCTAATAACTTCAACTAATATTGCAACTAATTATACTAAAACTGTTGTTTCAAATGAGAAATAGTCAATTAAAATTTTATTGCATAAACATGCGTATTAAATATTGCTATTATGTACATAATTGCAATTTTAATTTGTTTCTATAAGCATTTATATAATAGTATTAATTTTCAAAAAAAAATAATATTTCCATTCTTAAAACTAAGAAATTAGTAAAAAAAAAATAGCAATATTACATGAAAATTAATAATTCTTCAATACATTTTTCATTTCAAATTTTCGAACCGTACTGTGATAAAACCGCATTATGCTTAATTTGTGAATTAAAAAGGTTTTTGAAAAGTTAAGATTTTTTTTTAAATTCTTACAAATTCTTTGCGAGTGTAAGAAGAGAGGACAGAACATAAATTCACAACAAAATCCTCACGAATAATCCTAATATCGCTTTCTCAGAAAAGCGGTAGTCACGTATAAGGAAATCTTCCAAAAAGCGCCATCATTAGTGCAGCCGATTGAAGACAATGCAATGCAGAGTTCTTTTAACAAGCGCGGTTCTCAGGCTTACAAATCAGATTCTGCAGTTAATTAACCACCAGCATTGAAAGACCGTTTTTCGCGTCGTTTTGCTTCTTTTCCTTTACAACATCCATCCGCATGCTGCTTAGATCTGTTAGCCATATCTGCGCTATTGATGCCATCTTAATTGTATCTACTTAATCTTAATTAATATATGCGTAATCCGACTTTCAGCGTGCAATTGCAAAGGTTTCTCGCAACGCTGCTATTTCGATACAGAATTGTACCAGAAGACAGGACAAGGCGCTCATTGTCTGGATTGCACAGCAAATCGCGACGGCACAAATTGCGAGAGATGCAAGGACAACTTTTACATGCAGCAAGAGAAATGCGTCCCCTGCAATTGCGATCATTTGGGAACGGAAAATCTGCAATGTTTAGCGAACGGCAAATGCGAATGCAAGGCGGGTGTAACCGGACAAAAATGCGATCGTTGCAAAGAGAATTACTACAAGTTCAGCAATTCCGGCTGCAGACATTGCGGATGCAACGCTGCTGGGTCGATCAATAATCAGGCGAAGTGTGATCATCAATCGGGCGGTTGCACTTGCAAATTGAACGTTGATGGCTTGAAGTGCGACCGCTGCAAGAAAGGTTTCTTCAATTTGGACAAGGATAGTTTGGTTGGATGCATTCCGTGTTTCTGTAACAGTCACAGCGTGAATTGCAAATCTGCAACGGGGTTTTCGGAGCATCAAATCACATCAACTTTCGAGAAGAGTTCAGAAGGATGGGAAGCTGAAAATAATATTGAATTATCTTATGATGTGCTGTTTCAATCAATCAGTATTCGAGGGGATGAAAACGGTTTAGTGTTCTTCCGTGCGCCTGGAATATACTTGGGTAACCAGAGATCATCGTACATGCAGTTTATATACTTCAGCTTGCAAAGCAATGGAAATAATGTCACTGTTATATTAGAGGGGGCTGGGTGCGCTGTTACTCATTACTATTCCACTCAAGAAAATAGTCTGTCGTTGGAGGTTCGTCTGCAACTGCAATTTTGTTTTACATTTAATTACTTATTTTGTTTTTAGAACTACGAGTATTCCATCAGATTGCACGAGAATCAATTCAACGCTTCCAAAGAAGATTTCATGTTCGTTATTTCTAATCTTACAGCGATCAAAATTGGAGGATTCTTCCTTCGTGGAAGGTTAGTTACTCTGAACTATTTCAAACTCGATACCGCTATTCGAGGAATCACAAATAAACCAGCCAAATGGATAGAAGAATGTGAATGCCCAACAGGTATACTTAATAATACTAATTCAATTATAAATACTAAAAAATTAATAACGTCGAATTTGAATTATTATGGAATTTATCATAATACCTCGCATTGTGCGTCTTCAATTAGTTCACATTCACACATTTCCAAACAAACTAAATTTTAATTGAACAAAATAAGTCTGTTTTTATGAAAATTATTTTTTACATTTTATTTAGTCCCTCGATTAGTCCGGTTTTAAGTAGTCCGGGCGGAACCGATTACCCGGACAATGCAAGATATATCTGTATAAGTAACTTGTCACCAATGATACAAGTTTAAAAATACTTGTTTACAAGTATTTACAAAATATTACTTACATGGAGAATGTCGCTAGTCAGCTTTAGGAATTTTTTCTTACTCTTCAACGACACAAGATTCTTCAGATTCTTTTTGATTATGTTTAATTACACTAACATATTATTGTCTTAGAAAAATAACACAAATTTATTACAAACTAAATTATTTTACTGTCACAATATATCTCAATGGAAACTTTGATATTTTGATTAGATTTACTATGTTATGTTCAAAAACCCAAACTCAATTTTTTTATAGAATTATTCTAGATTTATACTATTGTATTTAACCTCTGCTAAATTATTTTTACTATTTATACCAAGGTTCTAAAAGAGTTTTAAAAATTTTGTACAACTTTTTACATATATTTCTTATGAATACATATTGATCTTTCTCGAAACAAAAGTTTAGAAAACTTAAATATATATTGGAATAATTATAAAAAATATAACTATATAGTTTGGAAAAAAATTGTTTTTTTGCGATTTGTCATAGTCATTGAAGTTTATATTATTTACATTATTTATCTAACAACATAACATTTCTTCATTCGATTTTATATTAAATTTGAAGTTCGAACTCAAAACCTTCATATAGGATTTTGTGATAGGAGATATGACTTAATATCATACCTTTTATTGTCTTAATATAAATGCACCATTTTGTGGAACTATGCGAGTAGGGTAGTAGAGCACCATATGATTTGATAAATCGATTTTTTTGTTGCGTTCTAGGATACATTGGTCAATATTGTGAGTTTTGTGCACCAGGTTACAAAAGAGTAAAATCAGAGACCAACAAATTCGGCATTTGCCAACAGTGCGAATGCAACAACCATGCCTTCTACTGCGATTCAGAATCCGGAAAGTGTGTCTGTAACGATAACACCGAAGGCTTTCACTGCGAGCGCTGCATGAAGGGATATTACGGAAACGCTCGGAATGGTACCGAAACCGATTGCAAACCCTGCGGATGCCCTAATAATGGAGAATGCACGTACTCAAACAACACAATCAATTGCGTGTCCTGTGCCAAAGGATACAAGGGTAACGATTGTGATTCGTGCTCGGACGGTTACTACGGAGATCCAACTGGTCACTTCGGGCAGAAAAGCAGAAAGTGCCAGAAATGCGACTGCAACGCGAACGTGGATGAAGAAGCCACGGGAAATTGTAACACGATAACTGGGGAATGCTTGAAGTGCATCCGCAACACCGTCGGCGGCAAATGCGAACGCTGCCTACCAGGTAATGTGTAGTAATAGCACTCCATCATCATCGTTGGATAATGGTAGCGATTTCAGGGTATTATGGTGATGCGATATCGGGGAATAGCAGTTGCCGTCCTTGCGATTGCATGCCGAATGGAAGTGTTCGAGATATCGACGGTAATTTGATGTGCGATCAGGCAACAGGAAGTTGCATTTGCAAAACGCGTGTAATTGGTAGGAGATGCGACTCCTGCGAGGACGGCTATTACAATTTCGCAGGTGAAAGAGGATGCAGTCCCTGCAATTGTGACGTAACTGGTTCACTGAATAAAACATGCGATGCGAAGACCGGACAATGTTTCTGTAAGCCTGGAATTGCAGGGTATGGTAAAAAAAATCTAATTACTTTTAAATCAAAATTAATCATTTTCTTAACCTATTTAGTCGCTAAATGACAGCTGTCACCTTGCGTCAATACAAAACAAGTTGAAATACTCTAAGGTTAGGAAACGCTGCTCTAGATTATTGTACTGAGTTAAAGTAATAATGTTACAAGTAAATTAAGAGTGAAAAACACTAAAGTAGTATTTGGCAATTATATAATGATACTAATAAACAAGATAAATGTTACCATAAACAGACCAAATTTTCTAAATTGTTGTAAAGACAGAAATAATCTATCAAAATTTACTTAAACTTCATAACGTGTATGTGAGAAAACGTAAATCCATTTTTATGAACATTTATGAAAAGTGTTTCAAGTCATTTAAAAAGAAGATGTAATATTCATTAATAAATTTCAAAGACTGATATTTATAGTAAAACTTTTATTTTTGCAAGTTTGCTCATAAGATTTATTTTTAAAAAAATATATGCATCTTTTTAACGAATTCTGATGTTTTTTGAATGATTTCATAAAAGTAAAATGTATAGACAATTATAAAAAAAATTGTTAATTATATAATAATATGGCGTGTGTAAGATTTTTTTTTGTCTCTATTTTTTGGTATTAAATAGTAACAAGAAATATATTCAGGACTTTCCAATATGAATGTTTTGCATGAAATGTAAATATGTAATATACAAGAAATTGGGGTCATTTGAAGGTGTAATATTACCATTCGTTCTTTATATACTAACTAAATAATAAATTGTGGCTACCGGCTATATAATATGTCTACCACAAATAAATCAGTATAATTAATTTATTTTCATACCGTATACAATTTGTTGCAATTTCAATTCTATCTCAGTCAGTAAATGGATAACAATTTATGCAGTAAATACACACATTAAGCAAACTAAAACGTGAATCAAACTTTTATTACTCAATATCCATGCATTAGTCTCGATCCAGTTTCTTTATTTTTTATTTTACCCTTTTACAAAGTAAAAAAGAATCTTCTGTTTCAGGTTGAGATGCGATCATTGCGAAGCACACAAATATGGCTTTTCGTCGGACGGCTGTAAAATGTGCGTGTGCGACGTAATAGGTGCAATCGATCTCCAATGCAACGACTTTGGTCAGTGCACGTGTTCAGAGAATGCCAGAGGACTCAAGTGTAACTTCTGCAAAGAGAACAAGCACGACCAGAAGAGGGGTTGCATAGACTGTCCGCAATGTTACAATTTAATTCTAGAGGCCACGAATCGCTTCAAAAAGGAATTCTTGCTTATCCAGACGAATTTAAAGCAATTGGAAATAAAGCCAATTTTCGTGAAAGATACACAATTTGAGAATGAAATCTGGAAAGTTCATAAAGATATAATGATGATGTTGAATCACAGTCGGATGAGTATGAGTGATGAGATTTATTTGATGGGCGAAATCAGGTTTATTTATGAGAGACAAGAAGATATGTTGACGATTTTAAATAATACGCATAGTTACTTATTGGATACACATTTATATTTGCGAAATGTAAGCGTTGTTCATTTGATGGAAGTTGAAGATCTTTTGAAGAGCAACAATTTGGAAATTGAAGAAACTTTAGACGTTTTAAACGTGAATGGAAGAAAAGCTTTAGAAGATCTGCAACAATATGAATCTTTGTTCAATGATCATTCACAAAAGATGGTTTTAATAGCAAATAACGCGAACAAAATTGCCGATGAATGTGCTGAATTTGTGACTACAAATAATGAAGATATTGTAAAGCAAATTTATCAAAATTTTAATAAATTTACGGAGAAAACAGAAATGATTAATAAAGAAATTGAATCATTGAAATATTCTTCCTTGTTTTCCAAAAATAAATCTGATACTTTGAAAGTTTTAACCCAAGTGGAAACAAAAGATAATTTCTACAAAGCCCAAGCTTCATTGAATAAATCCGAAATCCTATTGAACAGTATTGGAATCTTCGAAATTTGCCTCAACAATACGCAATTCTATTTCGATAGAATCCACTCCAACGTTAAAGAACACGCTGAAGTCTTGGAGAAAATTGATAGGCAAGTATCAGAAAGCGAAAATCTCTTACAAATTAACGTTAACAAATACAAAACGGTGGGTAAATTGTACGACGAAATTTGTACGTTGAAGGATGAAGCTCAATATCTGGTGGGATATGGTGATAACATCGTTGATTTGGCTAAAACAAAGTTTCATACTCTCAACGGTAATTTAAATTATATTTAAGAAAACAATTTTGCTACAATTTACTTCATTTGCAGCTTTTGATACCGAATTCCAAGATAATAAAGTGCACGCTAAAGAGGCCATTGTGAATAGCGTTTCTCTGATGGAAGAAAATCAGGGAATTCAGCTACAGCTGAAGGAAGTTAAGGAACCGTTGATGGTTGCTCAAGAAAATGTTAATGCGGCTATTGTTAAAGCTCAGTATGCGGCTGGATTAGCGAAGAAGACTTCAGTAAACGCGTTGTATCTAGACAATCAAATCGAATTGTTAAGGAACAACGTGAGTCACATAATATCAAGAGCGGAGTTGATGTCGGAACGCGTCGAAAATACGGATATCGAGTTTAAACGATTAGCTTTGCAAGTGGGAAACAATATTACGTTAATCGAAGAAGCTAAACATAAGGTATGATTGGTTATATCAGCATTTCTCAACCAAAATTATTTATTTAATAACAACTGTCACCTTGTGTCAAAGCTAGGAACTGTCAAAAACTCTGAGCATATTATGAATGTTTTTTTTTAATAGATAATTACTGCACAAAATGATTCACAAGAGGCTACCAGTAAAGTGAACGAGATATTGAGAGATATAGATGACATCTTGAGTGAGCTCGAACATGTTTCTGATTTCGATGAGGACGAATTGAATAGGTTGGATTTGCAGTTGAAGAAATTAGAGTATAGGATAAAGGATGCGAATTTGGAGAATATTTTGAAGCAACTGCAGAACGAGCAGAGGACGCGCAACGAGCTGATGGATCGGTACGAGAAGGAGATCGAATACCTAACTGTAAAGGTGGAAAATATGAAGCAGATCGCCGGTTCGCTGCCGGATGGATGTTACAAGAAGTACATCCTGGAACCGTGAATCGGCACAATTAATAGGAATTCCGGGGAGATGCAAAGAGCTTTGCTCATTCGCACTGTTGAAGGCTATCGACCTTAATGCACCGGTTATTAAATCGACTATAATTTATATTAAATTACTTTCATGCTAATGATCATCCGCATGACAACAGTTATTTATTTTATTTATTTTTTTGTAAGCTGTCAATTTAAGTGTTGAATTTAGTTAAGAGGAATTTCGTACTTAATAAATTATATTTTTATGTATATTAGATTTTTATTATCCCAATTTATTGCTTAATCATAAGACATTAATGTAATTACTCATGAGAATTTCATGAACCTAGGGCTTTCAGTAAAAATATATAATTGTTTATAATATTTTATCCACTTATAAAATTAACTCTCTTTAAAAAAAAAACAAGTGTATAATATATTAAAATACGTAAGTTTCTATTTGCTTAGAGTTTATTATGAGCAGTTTCTGGACACTACTTTTTTGATTCGAATTTATATTACATAAAAAGGAAATATAATAATTTAGTTTGACTCTTTTAAATATACTAAGAGGAAGTAACTGAAATTCCTGAAATGAAGAATTAATCAAATGGCAATGGAAACTCTTAAAATTACAAAATTCAATTGTTGAAAGAATATTCAAAATTGGCAAAACATTATCGTTGAAAGGTCCTGATTCTAAATCATAGAAATTGGATTTAGTCATTCGCAAAGTTAATTCGTTTTTAAAACTGTTGTTTTTTCAAGTAAATGAATAAATAATATTTATTTAATGACATCCACACTGTTAACTATTTGTTACACATTGCAATTATAGTTGTCAATTCATTTTCTTGCAGTTCGTGCAGTCTGGGGCTACCTTTAATATGCTTTGTATCAAATATATAATTGTTTATAATATTTTAACCACTTATAAAATTAACTCTCTTAAAAAAAGAAGTGTATAATATATTAAAATACGTAAGTTTCTATTTGATTAGAGTTTATTATGAGCAGTTTCTGGACACTACTTTTTTGATTCGAATTTATATTACATAAAAAGGAAATATAATAATTTAGTTTGACTCTTTTAAATATACTAATAAGAGGAAGTAACTGAAATTCCTGAAATGAAGAATTAATCAAATGGCAATGGAAACTCTTAAAGTAACAAAATTCAATTGTTGAAAGAATTTTCAAAATTGGCAAAACATTATCGTTGAAAGGTCCTGATTCTAAATCATAGAAATTGGATTCGCAAAGTTAATTCGTTTTTAAAACTGTTGTTTTTTCAAGTAAATGAATAAATAATATTTATTTAATGACATCCACACTGTTAACTATTTGTTACACATTGCAATTATAGTTGTCAATTCATTTTCTTACAGTTCGTGCAGTCTGGGGCTACCTTTAATATGCTTAGTATCAAATGCTTAGTGTCACCTGTTGGGAATAAAGACCAAGCTTGTATTGATCGACGTTGATCTGAAGAGGTCTCACTGGTAGCAAGGGAATTGGGTTGCCTACATACGAAAAGAAGTATGACATGTGCAGGCATAGCAGATCCCATTTATACCGCCTATTAATCATCGGACTGTTATCATTCGGAAAATGGCAGCAGTGTATGTTGTATATGTACTTTAGTGTAATGTAAGGTGTTTTTAATGTTGTTTATATGTTAAATTTTGGTGGTTATGAACAATGGCGGACTTAAATATCGACGTATCTGAGCTGCCCGAGGACGTGAGGGAGAAACTAGCTGAATTGGAGTTGGAACTATCCGAAGGTGGGTAAATGTTGACGTTTGTTTCCGTTCGGCCCCATATTTCAATCAATATTTCCACGGAAATCATATAAATAGGGATTACGCACTCGGTTGACTACAACTAGGTATCCGAGTAGGCCCTGCGAAGGGAAAGAAAATCGTGAAAATCCGATGGTAACTGGATCCTGTCGAGAAAAGGCTGGGCTTATGTAAATACGTGAGTGTGAAAAAAGAGTCTGAATATGATGAACAATGTGCGGTGGGTTTAACCGAACCACAAGAGATTTAGGAAAGGAAACCAAAAATACAGTAAAAACCCTAGCTAGCATGAAAGTGAAACAGGCTTTGCAAATATTTACATCGTTTTTCATTTATTTACGTTTCGGCGATTGCGTGATTTTCTCATTGTTCTCTTTCTTGCACACGCACACTTAACATCAAACGAGGACCTGAAGGCGCTGAAAACATCGGGGCCCTGCTGTAACCACCGTTCGTTACAAATTATTTAAGACGATCTCCTCGTACTTTGTTGTCTGCTGTGACTCATTCCAGAAGCATTTCCAGGTCGTAAAAAGGCAGAAAGAAAGAGTTTACGTGCGAACGCCAGGTTAAATAACACTAAAAATATTTTAGAAAGGAAACGAATGCTGGTGGTGAAGAGACAGCTGCCAATAATTGCATAATTATGATAACAGCTGTTTATTTCGGTTTCGCAAAGAATGAACAACAAAAAAAAAATGGAACAAATGGACTGCAATTAATTTATGGTTGTTGCATTCCCCTCGGTGCAACTGTAATTGCTGCAATAATTGGTTCACAGAGAAATAGACAATACGGACATACCTGTTATATCTATATATATGTGTAAACCATTAAGCGAAACCTGCACAAGATTACGACAGGCTCGAAAGTCAAGTATGCACTACCGGACGAATCAAGAATTTCAGGTCACAGACCTATTGTTATCAACAAATTGGTTCGTTTCTTGTTTGCCAAATCGATTGCCATGAATTTCGGGGTCACAGACCTGTTGTTATCGATAAGCCTCAGTATTTTTTTTTGTGTGTGTTTGTTTTCGGTTCGTCAACTCGCTAATTCCTACCTTTGTAGCAATTGTTTAGCTCTCTGGTTTATGTGTAGCAGCTCATCCAAACTGCGATACCGACTTTTAACAGTTAGGTTCATTGTTGAAAATTAATAAACAGAACGTGCATCGAACTTCCTCTGTATATTTATTCTTCAATGTTATTATTAATGTTGCAGCCATTATAAATATGTGTGTGTGTAATTATATCTAAAAGGAAATGTTGTATGGTTTTAGAATCTGTCCAGGGGATCTCGCACTATCATGAAATGAGAATTGACTTGGAGAAAATCGCATTTATCGATATGATGCTCGAAGCTGTCGGAAAACGTTAAATTGGATATGGCAAAATACCTGGCCTTCAACTCAATATAAAATTTTTGTTTGTATCGACGATGATGTAGTTATGACCATAGTAGTAGTTTATACGAAACCGGTTTCTTTAAATTTTTGATTCAATTCATACACGGTTCTAATACTATACAATATGCTAATTTATTTATTTACACACGCTTTAAACAAACACTCGAAATCTTTTGTTTTAGCATACATTAACGAGGCTTTCAATGGTAATTGTTTTATTTATTTATTTTTTTTAAAGAGAAACCCGTTGATTCGTTCCTGGTTTGAGTCATCGCTGCAAGTCTCTGAAATTGATTCGGTTCACTTTGCGAATAGAACCCAAGGTTCGTGCTGAGTATTAACGTCACAGATGCAACGTTTATTTATAATTTAGTCGTTAAGAATCTAATTGCTGTTATTTCTTACACGAATTTGGGACGGACCCTAAAAAAAATGCAATTGGAATTTTGTAATCCCAAGGATTCTCAAACACTTCAAGGCCAGAGGCGGCACACTTTTTCTATTGAAATTCTATGAACGTTCGATACTAGGAAGATTCACATTGTTTATCCAGGAATGAGCACTTCTCGTGAGACATTCGAGTAATTTTAATAAATATGGAAGCGGTTTATAGCTTGTTACGTGTTGTATACTTTAGTTATGGAACGAGTTTACGTGTGTTTTGTTTACAAATCTTAACCTTGGATCTATTTTTTTTTGCTCAAAATAATTGCTACTTTACTTGAAAATATACAGTCTCTATTTTAATTTAATGACTTTATTATTAACAAGATTTTTGTATTGCCTCCAACCATTTTATTTTTTCAAATTTATGAGAATATGCAATGCATTTTTTCTTAATCAAACCTTGAAGTGTACCTACGTGCAGTTTTATAAGTCTGGAAACGGATTTATCACATAATTTTAATGAATTTAATCTTCTAGTTTGTAATGGAAATGTAACGGATTTTTGTCAGATTTGCTGTTTGATTTCCTGCCTGGTCTTCATAATTGCATCATAGGTTTTCCGAATTACTTTATACATTAATAATTTCTTTTCTTTGATCTTCTATAATACTGAATGTATACAGTATTATTCTAATTTATCTGACGAATTTGGTTTGGTTTATCAAGTATTAGGTGCATAAAATTCCATTCGAAGGCTAATCTTTTATTTATACATTGAGATGATACCATTGAATGAATTTGTATAGATTAAAGTTACAAAGGTTATTACAGATTGAAAAAAAACCTTTCTAGTGCCATTGGCATCTACAAATTAGTACGTCAGGGTCATCATCGGATATAAATAAAGCTAAAGTTATCTTTTGAATTATCCCTATTGTCTATCCCGAGATAAACAACTTCTAATCACCGAGACAATTATACTTTATTATATCTTACATAAATTTATGGAGTAACTGAAACGTTGCAGCGATGATCCAATAAAAACATATGCGCGCACACTTAAGAATTATGCAGCGAAACAGAACTAAATATAGAAAAAAAGGCGTTTTATTAATAGCGAATGTGATAAACATTATTCAATTTTGTTGAGATTGTAATAATCAATTCCAACATTAAAATACATTTTGATAATCACAAAACGTAGCAATTTTATGCACCCAAATATACTTATAAGATACAATGAGAGAAATTAATTGATCATAAACTGATAAATCTAACTTTTGTTTAATTAAAATAAATTTCGTTTTAGCTCTAGATTTGAAATAATTGGAACACATTGTGTAAATTTGAACTTGCAACGATTACGTTTGAATGGGCTCAAATAATTCTATACTTATACAAAGATGTAACTGCAAGGCAGTACAAATCTAAAATTAGATCTTATTCTTTTTACGACATACTCTTTAACGCAGTGGTTGAAAGGTGTATGCATTCGTTTCTTCTTTGATCTTGAAGAGGTTTTTATGTTTCTTTAAAAAAAAACTTATATCCTGCAACGTTTTCGCGGTGGTTGACACGCGTCTGCGGTATTTATTTCTGTGCGTCTAAGTAGTATTTCGTACAGCATGGATTGTTTTCCACGCACAGATACGTGCTTCAATTTTAAGATGCGGACGGTCGGGAACAGGCCTCAAATTAGCGTCCCATTCGCGTGTTGTAAATATACCCTTAACACTATTTACAGATTCCTATATTTACATACCCATACCTGTTTCTGACTTGCTAACTGTCCACTGCTTACTTCAATTGCGTGCACTACTATGAACGCAAACACATGCTAAATAAGTATGCAGTATAGAAAAATATAGTTTCAGTAATTGATCTAACAACTTGTGTAAATGTATTTTTGTTTGTTTGGTTTGTTTATGAACAAACTTCTTTACACAACTTTATTTTATTAAATTCAAGTCATCTTAAACACAAAGCAATTGATATAAATTAATTCTTGAAATGAATTTATCAGAAATTCTTTGTTTGTAAAAGATTTATTAAAAAAAGACTTAATTTAAAATATTGATTTGTGATGAAACTTCTATATTTTTGTTACAGATTATTGATTATTTAAATCAGCGTTTCTCATTTTATCATAAATTTGTGTGTGTGTTGCGAAATGACTGCGAGGAATTAGTAAAATACTCTTCGTTTTTTTTTAAATTTTATATTGTAAACAATTGGGTACAATTTCAAACAAATATGTTGCATCAAAAAGGTTGAGAAAACGTTGGTTTTAACATCGAATGGGAAGTTGTTTTTATTTATGTTACATAATATCAGTTTGTAATCTAAACAAATAATGAAATGGATATTATTGATGGGAAAACGAAGATGTAAATTAGTCACGATGCGATATGAATATGGGAACGAACGATAGTGTTATCATTGATATGCGTAATTAATTTTTGGAATCATTGGAACATGTCGGATTGTATCGTGTTCGTATAGGTAGAAAGGATGATGATGATGATGGCAAGTGAAGACGAGGAGTGAATGTGAAAGCATAAACTTCGTCGTAATGCAGAAGAGTTATTCCACATCATAACCGTGCGAGATGAGTGAGTGAACTCGGAGATGGATTCTGAATTGGCAGTTCGTCCGCATCCGATATTTTATATTGCTTCCTCCTGCAACCTGTAAAATCAACCTAACCAGAAAATCGCATGATAATAGTAAATAGAAAAGAAGCGGAAACATATTTATATTTTCGTACACCTGAAATATCTACATCATGGATAAATGTTCGTTCTTATTGAACAAACATTGTAAAGTTAAATTTATTTTCTAACAAAGCAATTATACTTTCTTTTTTATTGGTATTGGTATATATAATTTTTAGGGTTTCTTTATGTAAAAGTTGGCTGCAATTATTATGAATGTTGACAGCTATGTTAATGATTTAAACTCATAAATGTTTAGGGAAGTATTTGTAATCATATTTACTTTAAATAGATTAACGCACACATTTGCTATAGTTGTCACTTTTCGTATAACTATTAAGCTCCTGACCTAAATTATGAGATGAATCATGAATACCAACATATGAATCATTGCTGCCAATATTTAGATTTAGTTACCCTAAATAATCCTTATATAATCCATATCCAGGGATTAATTTCTAAATCTAATATTAAAATTAATTTGCATTGTGGCCAATATTTAAATATTTCCTATATTGTATACAATTCGTAAATCTATTATAAATAAGGTGATGTAGATTACGTAGAAGAATTTCTAGATCTAATATTAATACTAAAATGAATTACGAATAAAGAGGAAACAAGGAAGTACATAGAAATATATAAAAAAATATGATAGAAAACGTTATTTGTATCTAAAATCAAGATCTTGTGGTACATTGTATCAAAGATGGATCTCGCATGAATATATACGAGGTGGCAGTAAAGTTTTACTTCGGGGCTTACTAAATTAAGCAAACATACTTTACGAGGCATCGGCCCACAGAGGATTTAAAAGATTCTACACGAGAGAAACACGAAATTTAAGATAAAAGAGAACGTCTGGTGATAACTCTTCGTCTGCTTGTTTTATGACATCTTACGTAAGTTAAACTACGTGTGTAGAAGAATTTATCACATCACGGAGTTTTTTCAGTTTAAAATTTTCTTAATTTCCTGAACGAAATCAGGACTTAATACTACACATATTCACCTAAATACATTTAGTGAAAATTATTTATTTGAAAAATTTTAAGATAATTATTTGTGTATAATATTAATGAAACTCTTTATTATTTATTTATTAATTACACAAATATTTAAATAAATAATGTAGGGTGACATAAGGCAGTAAAAAAATGAAATTTATTGTGTTTGAATTATGTCCACGTTAAAGTTACAGGTCATTTCAGTAATCGACTTTACAATTGCTAACAATAAAACTTAATTAATTTGAATTTGAAGAGAATATGAATTGCGAATTGACAACGTACATGATGTAGTTAAATTTTGTTATAAAAATAATAACGAAAAACAATTCAAATTATGCATCATATCAATCTACACCTGTCAAATAACACGGAGATCGTGTTATTCGAGATAATACGATCTTAAATGGTGACAACGTTGATAAATAACACGGTAGTTCAATTGTTTTATTTAAAGTATACTTGATCACAATAAAAACCGAATGACCATTTATATATGTTTCTGAAGTATTTGTTACCACGATTTTGAATAGCACGAAAACAATTAACTGTGTTATTCAAGGAAGTTCAGAGAAATAAAATAAAAGTTTTAAATTATCATAAATAATATGAAATCTAATAAGTAGCTTTGAATGATCATATTCATCTCTTGTGTGATGTTTAATCATATTAGTTTTGAAATAAGTGTTTAAGCTAATATAGAAAATCGTATTCATAGCCTCGAACACTTCCTAGTAATAATACTAACTCCTTTTCGGTTGGACACGTTTTATTATTGTGTACATCTCGCTTCTCAACTGCTTCATCTCATTCGACGCACCCTTAAGTCCTTTTATAATATCGCAATGTTCGTTTAGATATGTTAATATTCCCATTCATTTATTCTCATAAATTATACAGGACATGGCACGAAATTTCAATAAATTTATTACTTTTATATAATAGAAAAAAATGACTGACAAAATGACTGTTATTATTTTAGACAAATATTTAAATAATCATGAATTTGCATTTAATTTATGATTTCCAATATCATTATTCAATTAATTATAGATGAATGTAATAAGTAAGTATTATAAAAATGTTGGAAATGAAATGTTAAAATTACTAGAAATTTTCCTCAGATAAATATTTCGTTGATTCTCTTGTTATTCAGAAAGAAAAACATTCAACAAATCTAGTTTTTTTTTTTCAATTAGGTTAGTAACATTTAATTAATTTATAAAATTGAGTTTATAAAAAAAAACGTAGAATTAATATGACAAAAATTACAAACATTTTTCTTGATTGGTAAAACGTTGATTTTTAAATGTTTCTATACGACAAATTAACTCATCTTTTAGACATATTTTAAATAAGGTTGAACCTTATTACTTTTTCAAAAAGTATTATAAGAATTACTTGAAGCATTGCATAATTCAAGGATTATTATCTTTAGGGAATTTGTAG